TCAGCCTCCACCCCAAACTGTGCTTTGTATCCAGCATTTATAATGGTGTTAAATATATAAAAAAGTGGGGTCTCACTCAGAGGCTTGCTATTGAAAGGGGTCACCAGTACAAAAGTTTGAGAATCACTAGGCTAGAATATACCCCTGGGCTCCGCTGGACTCTCTGGGCCTGGTCCTTCTTTACTGGGGGAAAAATCAGGAGTAGCATCTCCCAAACATCACCCGCTTGTGGCACTGGAAGGAGGGTCACTGGCAATAAATGGTGCCGAGCTGTAATTCTCCCTCTCTGCTCTCACGTGGGGAACAAAATAATGAACAGTGTTGATATTTAAATGATCATTCCTGGGCACCTGAGCTCACCCCTCACTGAGGCGATGGGGCCGTTCACACCTCTCAGAGCTGCTGTGCCCAGCTCTCTGCATCCCCTACATCTGGGTCACAGTTTTGGGGTTTTCTTCACAACCAAAACAGCTGGAGACTCAGTTGAAAGCAAAGTGAAAGCTGAGATCCTGGAGAACAAGGCAGGTTCTTCGCTGGAGAAGTGCCTGTCAGTGAGCACAGAGGCTTGGGCCTGGTCTTATCATAGCATTTAGGTCACCCTGGCTACTTTGCTGCAGTGCTGTAGCTGTGCTGCTGAAGCTGTGTGGACGTGGCCTGGGAGTTCTTGGGGGAGAAACCTGGGGTCCTTAAGGGGTTTAATTAAGCAAAGTCAACAGCATTTCTTACCTTGTACTCCTGGGCAGCCTCCTCAGCGGGAACCACAGTGTGAGACTTGTGGTCCAGGGATTTCTCACACACCCAGCAAATAGTTTCTCCATCGTCCTCACAGAAGAGTTTGAGACGTTCCTCGTGTCTCTCACACAGATCCTCCTTTTGCCCTTTTCCTGATTTTAACCCCAATTGTTTGAGCTTTTGTACGATGTTGTTCAGCTTGGTATTGGCTTTGAACTCCCCTTTCTGGAACTGGGCTCTGCACTGGGGACAGGTCAGGGGTGTCCCTGTTCCCTTTTCCTCACAGTACGGGGTGATGCAGGCTCGGCAGAAGTTGTGCCCACACACTATAGTCACCGGCTCTGTCAGATACTCCAGGCAGATGGAGCAAATGGCGTCATCTTGTATTTCCCCTGCTATAGCTGCGGAGGCCATCACAGCTGGGTGAGTTTCTGTTCTCTCTGCCCTTGGCTCTGCACCCTGTGGGCTTGTGCTGACACTGGGAGGGGCCGCCTGCAAGTATCCGCTAGTCCCAGCCACAGAAGAAGAAGAAAAAGGAGGAGCCAGTAGGGGGAGGGGGAGAAAAGAGGGAAGTGAAACTGAAGGAGAGTAAAAGAGGGGGAAGGACAGGGCGAGGGCAAGAGAAAAGGAATGGGGTGTGGAGCAGGGATGGGAGAACAGGGGGCAATGGAGAGGGGGTAAGAATATTAGCAAATCTGATGTATATTGCTGTAAGGCTGGAAGGGAGAGAATATCCCCTGCTCCACAGGCAGTAAGTGTCTAACCCACCCCAACACCCACTGGGGATTGACGTGGGGACCTAGAGCGCTTAGCACAAGTCTCTACAACTGGAGCTAAAGAGTCAGTCTGTGAAGTTCAGAGCTGTAAAAACCCACAAACCCTGTGGCTCAGCTATCAAGGGGTGTGTGTGTGACACACACTCACCAGAGGGTTACAAGTGCACTGAGGGGATCTTTCAGCTCCTTCAGGAGAGGAGGGGGTGTCACAAAACTCAGGTAGAAAGTCAGGGTTACTGATGCTTTGGAAATTTCTGTAAATATAAATGCTACAGAACACTAAGGATTCAAAGCCCCTCCCATTTTGAACCTCTCTTTGCTTTGTGTGGCAAGATTTGGCCAAATTCTCCTGTCCCTTAGACAGTGTAAACCGGAGAACATTGAGGCTATGGCCTTGGCTACACTTGCAGCTGTGCAGCGCTGTGAGTTAAACCCGCCTTCGTACAGTTGAGTCAGGAAAGTGCTGCAGTCTGTCCACACTGACAGCTGCCCAGCGCACTGTCGTGGCCACATTTGCGGCAATT